CCCCCGAGCCAGGAACAGACAACCCGGGGCCTGACCCCTAGTCCCCCCTCCTCTCCCAGAGCCAGGAACAGACCCGGGGCCTGACACCCATGAAACCCCGCTCCCTTATTTCTTGCCTGCTGCCCCAAAGGCCCTCCTGACCGCGGCAGCCCAAAGTACCTGCTTCTCCCACTTCCCTCCCCTCTGTGCCCCAGCCCCTCTGCTCTGGGTCACCCCCCAGGCTGCAGACGCGCCAGCGGCTTTGGAAGATCCCTCCAAGGGGAAGCAGTCGCCTTGGCCGCTCTGGGGCAAGAGAGTATTTCTTGCCTGCTGCCCCAAAGGCCCTCCTGACCGCGGCAGCCCAAAGTACCTGCTTCTCCCACTTCCCTCCCCTCTGTGCCCCAGCCCCTCTGCTCTGGGTCACCCCCCAGGCTGCAGACGCGCCAGCGGCTTTGGAAGATCCCTCCAAGGGGAAGCAGTCGCCTTGGCCGCTCTGGGGCAAGAGAGCACAGGCCTCCCCCTTCCCCGGCCAGTCCTGCCGCCCCCCCCAGCTGTACTTACGGCTTTCCCGGGCCTGGCCCAGGTGCAGATGAGCCCCTCCTGGCAGGCGGTGAGGATGCAGTCCTCCAGGAAGAGCAGCACAGTCAGCCGCTCGTGGGCGATCTTCTTGCAGACCAGGGGCTCCAGCAGGGGCACCTCGTGGATGCGGGGGCAAAGGGCCGTGCCCAGGACCTTGGCCGTGTCCAGCTTGCTGCGGGGCGCCGCGTTGATCTTGTCGTTGCTCTTGCTGATGTTGCCCAGGCTGTGGTAACGCTTGTGCTCCTTCTCGGCGCTCTTGTCCTTGCGCTCCTGCAGGGTGAGCGTGGCGAACTTGCCGATGCTGAAGGGCACGGCGCTGTCCGCCACGTGGCTCTTGGCGGCGCCGGTGACGGCCGGGTGGGGTAGGCTGTTGGAGCGCGAGAGCGAGCGAGGCAGGAGGGACCCCCCCCTGCTGCCCCCCGGCTCCCCAGCCAGGTTGCTCCCGCCACTCACCGAGGAGGCGATGCCGGTGCTGAAGGTGTTGGTGAGCGTCCGGGCCCGGGAGAGCGGAGGGGGGGGGTACAGCACGTCCTCCGTCAGGTCCCACAGGCAGAACTGGGTGTCCTGGCCGGCCGAGCCGAAGCGGTAGGTCACTGAGGGGGAGCTCTTGGTGCTGTGCTTGGAGAGGCGGGACAGGGTGCTGCTAGTCCGCACCCGGCCAAAGTGGGCCGGCTCTTGGGGCTCCTCGTCGCTGCCGCTCAGCTCCGGCGGCTCCTCCTCCTCCACGCTGCTGGTGTAGGGATCGAAGGCCACCGCGTTGACCCAGGACTTGTGCCCGTGGCCCCTGGCGATGACCCGGCCCTCGGCGAAGGACCAGACGGTCACCAGGTCGTCCTCGCCGCCGGTGACGACGTAGCGCCCGTCAGGGCTCCAGCAGACGCACAGCAGCCCCCCGAAATAGCTCTTCATCATGCCCTGCAGCAGCATGGAGTCGAAGTGGAAGACGCGGAGGCAGCCGTCCTGGCTGACGCAGGCCAGGTAGCGGCCGTCGGGAGAGAAGGCGAACTCGTTGAGGGCCCCGTCGCCCACCGCCCACTTCACCAGCGGGTTGCGGGCGGTTTTGCTCTTGCAGGCGTAGACGGCGAAACCCTCGCCCTGCTTGAGGAGGGTGTACTGGGGCGAGGCAGAGCCGCACGGGTGCTCCACGTTGTACAGGTAGAGGTGCCCGCTGGCGTGGGAGGCCAGGAAGAGGCTCTCCGTCTCCGGGATCCACTTCAGGTAGGTCACCTTGGTCTTGTCGATGAGCCGCTGGGACAACAGGGAACGGAGGGCAGGGATCAGACTGAGGGGGCATGTGCCCGTGGGGCTTCCCTGGCCGGGGTGGGGGGGAGGGGAAGAGAGATGCAGGCTCTGGGGTCTGCCCAGTGCTTGGCTGCTCCACTGGGGCTGACTGAGACAGTGGCGTGTGAGCCTGAGAACTCGCCACTCACTGCATGCAGACCACGGGGCAGAAAGCAACTGCGCCCCCAACTGGGCCGGCTCTGAACCAGGAACCTCCAAATGGAGGGATCTGTACCCCACTCCCAGCCCTCTGCTGTGCCATGCAAACCGCAGCCTCACACGAACAGCCCTCGCAGCCAAGAAGAGAGACGCCAGCTACGGCAGGAAGCTCAGGGTGCCCCGGAAAGCATTTTGCTAGCCAAGAGCCAAGCACATCACCCACACAAACCAGAGCAGCTGTAATGACAGGCTGCCCTGGAGCACCCAGGGACCCCACAAGCACAGGGCTCAGTGAGGAAGCAGAGGAAAGAGAACTGCCTAACAGACCCTCCCCTGAACCCTGGCCTAGCTGTGGAGAGGGGCGGAGCGGGGGCCGACCCACGGAAGACACGACACAGCTCAGAGGGGTGGAATCTCACCTCCTCGTTGAACAACTTGCTGGTGTCCTTCTTGATGAGATCCAGGTACTGGACCTGGCCGGCGGAGAAGCCCACCAGCAGCGAGATGCTGTCGGAGGCGGCCGTGAACTGGTTGAAGTCGTGGCAGGTGGGCTGCGTGCCTTTGTAGATGCGCTTGTCGATGGGCTTGTTCAGATCGAGGGACTGGAATTCAACAACACCAGGAGGGGTGAGAAGGCGCTGGCTTTGAAAGAGGAAATGGCAGTTACATCCCCCCCGTAACCCTACATGCTTTGCAGGACTGGATCTAGAGCGCAACGGCGACCCCGAACCCGACAGGATCCAGCGCGCTGCATGGGGAGCGCAGCGCAAGGTGCCGGCAGCAGCAGGTCCCCATGGTGAACAGGGAAGGTCGCTGTTGCTCCCAATTGGAGTAGGATTCCCAAGGGAAGCAACTGAAATAGAGAACCATTCAGGACCCCTCATCCCTCCATCCTGCAACACCCGACTGCACACTTCTTCCAGGGTCAGTACCTGCCTGCCAAAGTCACAGAAGGGAAGTCATTGTTCTCAGTGTCACAAAGTGACAGAGCTGGGAACAGAACCCAATTCTCAGCCACTTCCTGCTCTAAGCACTAGGCTCCCTTCCCCTCCCCGAGCTGGGCGATGGAACCCAGGAATCCCGATTCGCAGCACCTTCCCGCTGTAAGTGCTAGACCCCAGTTTCCTGTGACAGGGATTACACCCAGCTCTTTGCAACTCAGACACTTCCCCCCTGTGTTTCCAGTCACTCGCGCCCTCTGTCCTATTTGAAGGCTTAAACAGCCAAGAGCAACTGCTCTCCCACCATCTCCATCTCCAGCGGCGATATCACATCACAGTCAAGATCCAATTTCCTGGCTGCATCGACAACCCCTAGAGGGGACCCCAAGTGCATTTAACCCCCAGAACACTCCCAGCCACTCCCCCTAACCCACAAACCACACAAAATCCAAACAAACCTTTTACAGGGGCCATATTTTTCCCATCAAGCAGCTCTGCTTTTCCCACCCCTCCCCCAGGAGAACGGACACACAATTGGCACAGTGGGTGCTCTGAAGTGGATGTGTGCCGACCATGCGAGTGCCAGTCTCCAGGCAGCCTCCTTAGATGTGCTAGGTCCCCCAATTTCTGATAAGACGCTACATTCAGGTGTACAGTCATCGGCGACGTCTGTTCAAGCAGCTAGCGCCCGCCCATTAGCACACACGCTGCAAACACCCACAAGGATGCTGCATCATCAGAGGCACTTTGGCTGGTCAGGCTCAGTAATGGATACCACAGCCTAGCCCCGACTGCCAAGATCTCTCTTGCTCACAACTGCACCACCCTTCTGAGCAACGAAAAGCTCTGAGGTCTAAGGCCGGCACCCCCCACGGAGCCTGCAACATCTCAACTGCCATTGCACAAATATTTGCCCTGGTGTGCATGTCACAGAAATGGCAGAGGACTGGCAGCAGAACGACACCCTAAAATTGCAGAAACAGGACTGCAGGGCAGCAAAGGGACACACAGCTTGGTTCAGCTGCCTGGCACCCAGCACCAGCACAGAACTCGGCACGGGCTGATTGCATAGCTTGTTTGTGCAGCTGTTTGAAACCACTTCACAGGGCGGCCGCCTGAAGTGAACAGGACACACAGGCGCCTGTCATTGCCATGTTCAGACCTCACCAGAGCAAAACAGCTCACTCCGTGCCCAAGCTCTTGCTGCCTGCACAACTCACAAGTGTGTGAGCACTGGGGTCTCTGCCTCCTGTCCCTCCAAGCTCCCCCTCTGTGGAGGCCTTTCCCGCTGTTTGGAATCCTGCCCTGAATGCTTCTCTGCTCATCTTCGGGAGCTTATCCCCTTCCCGGGGAAGGATCCTCACCAGTACCCCAGCCCCCCTCAGGATTCCGGGTTCCATCCCGCCCTTCCAGTCTCCAGACCCGCCCCTTCATGCATTCCCTCCCCCCTCGCTAGGAAATTGTTTAGCAGGTTGGCCAGCAGCCCGGCTCAGTCCTGGCTTGTGCCAGGAAGGGGCAGGCAGCCCAGCTCCATTCTGGCTTGTGCTGGGTCGGGGTACTCAGACCTCTTCCCTAGACAGAGGCTGCTGCCACC